TCTTCCATCAATTGACAGACATAACTCAGCAGACTTGATGAATCTCCTTCAGTGAGAAGGGCATGGGAGATCCATTTTCTGTACAGAGTTGCCTCCCTTAGCCAGCAAGGATATGCTTTTCATGGGTTTGAATCCTAGATTGTTTTAAGCAATCAGCTACTGTGATTAAAGCAGATGTTTTATACATGTGTGACTTCTCTCATATATGTGAGGCGTAACATTTTGCAGTGCGGAGTGATTTACCCTTGTCTGTCAGGATCATCTTCCCGAGGCAAGAGAGTTAACTGACTTTAAAAGTCCAGTTTCCACCCTTGCCCACCTAGGCTGGAATTCCTGGGCTTGATAGTAGCGCCACCAGTGGCTATTACCAGTTATGTCCCTTCTAAACCTCTCCTATGGACCAATCAGATTCCACCTCTCGTATCACTTGCGTTTGCTTCACACAAAATGGTGGCGCCCAGTCAGGACGATCTGATGGATAATCAAAGTTCTATATCGTGATAAAACGGGTCTTACATCGCGAAATGCACGTGAGCACCTTGATTATAAACATGAAAAGATTTGGAAAATATCTGCTGACAACGAGTTGGCGGTGTATATGCTTTGCAAATCCTGCAATCGACCGAAAATGCACGACAGTTTACTAACTGGATTTCGATTTCAGTGGGCGATTTTGATTGGACTATGCATAGACTCGTCCAGCCAAAATTTAACTCCATAATACCAGCCTTGTTCGGCAAGGGTGGAAACTGGACTTGTTTACTCTCCTGCCTCGGGAAGATGGTCAGGATGTGCTGATTGTGTGTCTAAATTCCAAATTTACCACATTTGTGGTCCTTGGTGTGTCATCTACCTACCTGTACCAATGGGATTCACGGAAGTGGTAATTGTCTATGACCTTATGCCAATTTGGAATTTCCTTCTACATTATTCTGACACACTGTGATAGAACTGAAATATGTCGCCCACCCACCCAGCCACACACTGAATATGAAATATGCATCACACTGTCTAGATTCCAGGAAAACAATTTCATATTACTGATGAAAAAACAATAGGGAAATAAATTGACCCATATGAAATTATATATTATTTTTATTGATGAACTGAAATAAAAGCTTTTAAGAAATATGAATGAAAAGATCTTTTTTTTTCTTTTTTTGGGTGTGTGTGTGTGGTGTGTGTGTGTGTGGGGGGGGGGGGGGGGGGGAGGGGACAAATTTAGTGGAGAAGAATTGTTTAAGTATTTTACCTATTGACTTTTGCTCAAGATAAACTAAAAAACTATGAATATAGCTTAGATGATGTAGAAATTCACATTCTGCTGTAGGCTGAAAACTGGAAAACAGCACAGTCAGAACTGACCTGACCACTAACAGTATCAGTATTAATATTTCCTTGACCTCAGCATGACCTCTCTGTGAGCCAGCAAAATATTTGACAGTGTTAAGTTACCTCATAGATCAAGCAAATGTTTGTTGTACAGTGTGTGCTCATGAAAACTATTATGGGTGTGTTTGCTCATGGTGATTAACAAAAGACGACCAGTTGGGTTATGTTTACCATGAGATGTTTTTTGGTTTTTTGTTTAACGCCATACTCAGCAATATTCCAGCTATATGACGGCTGTCTGTATATAATAATCGAGTCTCGACCAGTCGTAAGAGACGACGACTAACAGGATCGGGTGGTCAGGTTCACTGACTTGGTTGATGCATGTCATTGTATCCCAATTGGGTGGGGCGATGTCAATCACTGGATTGTCTGGTCCAGACTCAATTATTTAAAGACTGCTGTCATATAGCTGGAATATTGCAGCGATAAACAACAAATAAACAAACAGATTATCGGCTAATAAAAACTTATTGTTTTGAAGGAAATCTTTTGTACTGCAAATCTATCTCACCGGTGAAGATCCGGGTTAGAATTGGTCTTCAACAACCCATGATTGTCTCACCCATGAAGACTGACTAATGGGTGGTCAGGTTCACTCAATTGGTTGATGCATGGCATTGTATCCCAATTGCATAGATCGATGCTCATCAGTAGATGACAATTGCTGGATTTTCTGGTCCAGATTCAATTATATACAGAGCGCAATCATATGGCTGGAATATCGCTGAGTAGGACGTGTGGACTGTGAGTATGGACAGTATAGTCACTTATGGTGAAGATGAAATGGGGTTTAATGTGGTGTTCAAGACTATTGCACTTGCATGGCGATGTGTGTGTGTGGCTGCTTGGACTAGTCCAGAACAATGCCGATTTATAGTACTATCCCACTGGGATACCATGCCGCAGTTTAACATGAATACCCCACTCAGACACAGTATACTGACTCTGAGCCGACCAGTCCTTGTTTTAGCCCCTGAATGCTGAATGCTAGGCAGGGTAACAACAAGTACCATCTTTTAACATCTTTTGGTATGACACGACCAGGGATCGAACCTCCGACTTCTGCTACCCAGGCGGATGCTCTACCACTAGACCACAAAGGCGGCCCAGTCACTTATAGACATCTCATCAATTGAAATTGCAGCCAGTATTTTGAGAGCCAGATTCAAGAGTATAAACCACCCAAAAGGTATAAAAACCATGGGATAAAACCAGGGGGCGTCAGACACAAGGTTTTATCCCTTGAATTTGGGTTATAAATCTCATAAACACATGAGGGTAAGTGTTTTATCCTACACATAAATAATAACTGAATGGGTGAGCCCTGAAAACAAATGTGTCATGCAAACGGATCCAGATGCGGGGTCCAGGGCATCCAGACCCCCCTCCCTCCCTCCACCCCCTTTTAAAACCAAATGTAGTATGTTGTAGGCAGTATGATTGACTGAGAGAGAATTTTGATATTTTGGACCTCTCCCTTTTAAAAATGTTGGATCCCTTGCTACCTGAACTGGCTGGATGCACTGATAACAAATGTGTCCTGCAAAAGGAATTTGAAATGCTTTAGAGAAAAAAGTGGTGTTTCTTGGGCTGGTGACCGAGAAAAGTTTCTGTCTCACACCAAAATCTTAGGTCCCCCTCCCCCTCCCCCTCCCCCTCCCCCTACCCTACCCAGAATATTACCTTTTTGCTTTTTTGTGCTTTTATTAAAACTGAGACATTGTACAGTAGGAGTATTACTAAATATAAGAAAGCTATGTGATAAATCACAGAGCACAGTGACGAACAAAATGTGGTTTATTTCATGATAAAACATTGTTCTATCATGACGTCATTTCTGGAGATTCGAACATAGGCCCCTCATGGTTTATTCTCCTTGCATTGTTTTATAGAAGGATAAACAACGACCATGAATCGTTTATTTCTTAAATAACATATAAGACACGTTTCAGTGTATAAGTATTACTCCATACACAGAATATTACTTGTAACTCTTGGTACACTTCCCGTACTTGAGCCTGGAATTTGCTTCCAGGGAAACAGTTCAAGCATTGCTGGAGTCTTCTGCAACAACTCCTCAGTTTATTTGTAACAAGAGACGATATAAGGCTTACACAAACTAATTCCATATGACAGAAATACTGTGACAGTTGCCTTCAGGCAGAGCTTACACTATCATAGCACAGAATCATTCAAGCAACTTAACATACCGAAAACATCATTGAATATATACACATACTGAGCAGTACAGGCATAAGCTGGGAGACGCTTCTAATGGTTTATTAATGCAATTTTAGTCATTCGCCATGGAAAGGAATCTCAATCCCTGTAGACGATAAAAGCTTTTTCACAAAGAAAAGCAATTCATAGATTGTTCAGAGTGAATTTCATCTTGATTATTCTGTTGTCACCTGAACTTGTCGTGTCCTACAAGATATGGCTTACCAGGATGTCTCCGGGGAAATTTATCTCTGAGTCTGTCAATCAGGTCTGATATGGACAACTCGAGGATTGTGATTCGATGAATTTCTGATTTGGATCAAGTTGGTTCAAAGAATTTATGTGATTCTACAGACTGATTTTTGTGGTTTTTGTAATTTTGGATCTGTGGAACAAATGGACAAGGCTTATATATGTCGAGTGAAATATGTGCCTGTCAATCAACCATGGTATCTACATCTGAAGAATTTGGACAAGATTAAAACAGTGTGGATTTGGATGTGATACGAAAGAAACACACTGTTTCTCACAGAGAGATGGTCTTTCTATACAGTCGTCCAGATTGGCTTGAAGTCAGCTTTGTCTACAATCGAGCCCCATTGATACGTGAATGAAAGGTCATAAAACTACAAGTCCATTTTGAAGCCGCTATCAACAATGCCTTGTATTGAAGAGGAAATGATCCTTTCGCTTGTCAATATGGTTCTGAATAAGTTTCAGAGATCGGTTCATGTTCGGAGCGTTTGTGGAGAGAGGGAGTGAGATTGTTGTCCTCTGTTGACAGGTAGACAAGATTCATATTGATTTGGTGGCATGTACTAGACGTTTACTGTTGGCGTTTATTGCGCCGATTTGTGACCAGGATCTGTCAGAGGCATCTGTTATCTCATGGATTTATTTTGCTGAGGGGTCAGTGGGATGCTGTGTCCATTGAAGACGTAACTGATTGACAAAGAGGATATGTCCGTTATTGATTTCCCCAAAGTCTTGGTTCGCTTGGGTGTTTTTTGATGGTCCATTTTGTACTTCTTTTTATCAGTGTTTATTTCGTTTCATTAGGATTGCTGTTTTAGTTTTTAAATAGTTTGAGTAACAATAATAACGTTCTTATATCATGGTTAAGTCATTTCAATTGTTTTAAAATCTCAGTTATTACATGTTAAATCATTTACGTTTCGATCTGTATTTAAGATGATCAATTTGGAAAGTTTAGTAAGACGTTTTTTAATTTAATTTCTCATATATGAAAACTGAAAAATATTGAAGATTGATACAATTTTGATTTATCAATTTATTCTATATCATATGGATAATTATACAAATTTACATTCATCAATTTATTTTCACATCCATTTATGAATTAGTGGTTGCAATTGAGATGAGTGTAGAAATGTTTGCATAGAGTGATAGGGAAGGGCAGACTTTGAGTTCCAATCACGCCATTTGCTTGCTGATAAACCAGTCTTCAGGTGATAACATTTTCAACAATAAAGATTAATGAGGAATTTGCTTTCCCTGTACCTCCATATTTGTTCCCGCCAGCCACGTACATCGTGTTCCCATAATCTACAGTCATGTCCTAGGTAAGGATATGTCAGAAATCTACATGGCCACTGACTTATGAATGATTTCATGGATTAAACATATGAATATCGGCCTGTCAAATGTGAAATAGGTGAGATTTGTGTTCTGTCGAAGATGCAATCAGTGTAATGATAAATCGTGCCGTCTTCTTGATCCGCACCGTGTTTGCCTTGGATACTGTTCAACACAGAAGATTATGACCGATTCCAAGCTGAAAACTGCGTCATTATGGGCCAAAGCTGTGTCCAAGTCGCGAGAACGTCGGAACAGTACGGTGACACCAGGGGGCAGCATGCTGAGGACGAGGATGAGCCTCCATTCCGTTGCCACTACGCTGTTAGAAACCAAGAAATTAACTGAAAGGTATTTTGTAATGTTTCGTTTGTGTGACAATATACATTTCATGACAGCCTACCTGTAAAAGTTTTTTGTAAATGTGTGTCTTGCATGGTGATGTTTCTATTGCTTCGTTGCACCTGTCATCGTGGTCATAGATACGTGCATCCCTCACATTAAATAGTTCCGACAGATTCTGTGGAGGACCAGCACTGTGTAGTTAAAACTATTTGTAGTTCCGAGTCAGGTTTAAAGCATATCTATTTTTCATTGGTCTCTACAGAAGTTAAAACTAAAGGGCAGGAAAAGTGGGAACTACAATTTGAAAACTTAGGTTGGAACAATATTTCTAATAAGATATTCAGTACAACACACAATGTAAAACTGTGTTGGTTTCAATACCAAATTACCCATAGAATTCTTACCACTAATATTTTTCTGTATATACTTAATCATGTTCAGAATGATCTGTGCCTCTTCTGTCACAATGAACGCTTTAACCACTAGGCTACCCGACTGCCCCTATATGTAAATAAATGGCAGTTAACAAGGCTATGAAACATAAACTTGTCATAACTGCTTTATGTTATAGATACTACACATTTATTTATCTTAGATTCTAAACAAAGTGCCCCTGGCAGGCAAATTAGGATAAAACATTATGTTTTTCAAAATTGGGATTTTTTCAAGTTCTTATTTTCCTCAATTCTGAGGTATTTTAAATTGCATTCAATACAACATTGCATTACTAAGCCTTAAGCCCACTTCTCTTTAGTGGACCTGTTATCTGTGAAATACAAGTCACCTCTACAAGCTGTCACATTAGTTGTGACTGTATCAACAGGAAATGGCATTTTTCGGGGAATGGAATGTACATTTGCTGCAGACTGGGGAAGGGGGGGGGGGGGGGGGGCGGGAATCGCTGAGCAGGGTGAGATAAATCCCTGGTGTGGATCCTCTTTTTTGATGACAGTGCACAGGTAATCTAGTTGGTCACATTGCGTCAACTCGCAGTGCACAGTTGTGTCCCTTACCTGCGGGGATCCATGTCCCTGGGTTTGAATCCCATGTTTGCCCGGATTATGACTGGAGTTACCAGCTCCATGCCCTGGGATTTACGAAGTAGTCAACATCAATGACCTGCATCAATTTAGCCTTTCCTCACTGTGGTGTAATTGAGAAAATTCAGAACCTAATGCACTCTCTCGTTCTTGACGATACATTGACTCTGGCCGGCTTGACTTAAGCTTGACTCTTTTAACTGAAGGGGCTAGACCTATCTGTTTTTATATTTATGTGCTTTCTAGCCCAAAATGCAGGGGACACAGAAATATAAAGTATAAAATCTAAGAACTGGGGTGGTGGTGGAGTTGGTGGCAGTATTTGAAATGCCTATGGGCAAGTGCTTATTTCAAACACTGGGTGGAGGGGGGTTGATTGGCCGATAGTATTGTGGTAATAAACCCTAGCTATGTGATTGCAACCTGCCGTTGGTTTGGTTCACATTTTCAAACTGTGATTATCTGGTTCACATTTTCAAACTGATTATCTGGTTCACATTTTCAAACTGATTATCTGGTTCACATTTTCAAACTGTGATTATCTGGTTCACATTTTCAAACTGATTATCTGGTTCACATATCTGGTCAACATTTTCAAACTGATTATCTGGTTCACATTTTCAAACTGATTATCTGGTCAACATTTTCAAACTGTGATTATCTGGTTCACATTTTCAAACTGATTATCTGGTTCACATTTTCAAACTGTGATTATCTGGTTCACATTTTCAAACTGTGATTATCTTATACATAGAGCTCCAGATAAGTCGTGTATTGGCGAGGTGACTAACGGGATCATTTGGTCAGGCTCGCTGACTTGGTTGATGCATGTCATAGTATTCCAATTACGAAGATGGATGCTCATGATATCAATTACTGGATTGTCTGATCCAGACTTGATTATTTACAGACCACTGTCTATTGACCTTGAATATTGCTGAGTGCGGTGTCAAACAAAAAAACAACAAAGAAACAAATTTTCAGCTGACGTACCTGTATCTTTGTTTACTACAGAACAGTTAAAGCATCACAATTACATTGTGTAGTGCATAAAAGTGCTACATCTTATAATTACTATAACACAGAATAATAGCTAATGATCTGATTGGTTGAAAAACTGCTTTTTGTCATTGTTTTGAAAATAAAATAATTTTTAATTTATTATTAAACCTGTTGAAGTGAGTCATAAATTGTCACACACAGGAATAAGTGCTGTTTTACTTTTTTTGTTATGAAGGTTTTTTAAGAGTTCGAGTTTGATTAATGGCTATAGAAATCTCAAACTAACACTTTGGGAACTATGGTCCTATTGAGTGTTATAGACGAGATAGTTACAAGCATGTTTAGACATATACGCTTTGCTGGTTGTAAATATATTCTGTCAACCCTTTCTCCATTCAGTCACTGATCTCCTCATGTAGAGGCACATGGCTGGGACATTTATTGCCTAAGACCCTCTAGGGTTCAGGATCTCATTAATTTTGAATGTAATAAAAAACACTAAATAAGTTTTTTAGAGACGAGAAAAGACATTTAATTAAATCATTTTCACTTTTGAAGTGTTTAGGAAGGGAAGTGTGTACATGAGCAAGTGTTTTCACTGAGGCCTTTTGTAAAAGATACTTCAGTGTTTTAATAACTTAATGGTTATGGTTTTAGATCTGTTTTATACTTCTTTACACTGCAATGCAGGTTTGATTTTGTTAAGTTGATAAAGAAGGTAGACTTGTGTCATTAAGGAAATCTGGTTGTGACTTTGATGATTTTATCGTGTTTGGCCGGCTGGGTTGTTTTCTTGGGTGAACTCTTATGGATATATTTATATATTTTTTATACAATATAAAATATATATATTAAGTTTAGTTTCTTTCAATAGTGGTTGTCAGTCACATTCAACTGAATACCTCAGCTAGATTATGACACCATCATTGGGTTTTAGAGATGAACACACAGGATTCAAACACAGACAATGTGCATAGCAAGCTGACACCATGCCTACTGTGCCACAGTACGACACCCATATGTACTCTGACTGTAGACCCTGGCTTTTCCAGTTACTGTACAGCATTCATTCCAGTTGCCCACGTGTGTACCCTTCTGCCTTGCCCGGGTCAAACATGGGGTCCATTCTCACAACAATGTCAAGGAAACAAAGGCAACCACTTTCTTAGAATAAACGTTAAAGATGATGCTAGTAAAAGCAGAGCTGTTATAGGTTCTCCCTTCAAGTTGTTGGGGCACGTCTGGCCATCCACTTCTGAATGGGGACACGTTTTCTCAAAAACTATTTAAGTTGAGAAATGAAATTTTACACACTGATGTTACTGGTCATCATCTTAAATTAAAAATTAAAAATTGGTGTCGTAAATTCATGTTTTACAGAGTTATGGCCCTTGTTCCATGCTTTTCAAATTTGTGCATACTGCGTGAAATGAAGAACAAGTTTTTTCAAAAACAACTGAAGTTAGATGAATGAAAGTTTGCAAGATCACCTAAGTGATACTTGTCAAGACTGAGTTTAAAAATTGTTGCCATATGTTAATTTGTTTCCAGAGTTATATGCCTTGTTACATCTTTTTAGATTTTATACATCCTGTCTTCAATGGGGACAAATTTCCTGAGAAACTATACACATGTATATATATGCTTCTAAGAGATACTTATCAAGACTGAGCTATGAAATTGGTGACGTGAAATTTCTTTTTACAAAGTTACGGCCCTTGATCCATGCTATTTTAGTATAGTAGCTGCATAGTAGCTGCAACAGGGACAAGTTTTCTCAGAAAATACGGAACTTACGTAAATGATACTTTGCATACTTATCTAAGAGATACTTGTCAGGACTGAGTTTGATTGATTCCATAATTAATTTTTTCCAGATTTATTCTCCCTTTCTCCATGTATATTCACGAACAAACAAACAAAATTCTAATCTACCCCACGGCTTGGGATAGTGATACTGCTGTTTTCTTGTTTTTTCCAAATTTGAGTTCCATTAGGTAAAAAATACAAAGTTGAAATAAAGGTCAAAAGTACGCAATAATAGTCAAATGTTACAAATAAAGAATGAATGTTACAAATGAAGGTAATTATTTACATTCGAATAATGAACTCGAAATACAAAACAAATACCAATGAACGACTTGCAAAAAAAAAGATGTCATATGTATAAAAGAATAATGTGTATTAAAGAATGTCACTGCACAAAAAGGGCACTTATTTAAGGGACACATTGACGCCAGATGGTGCTGCAATTTGTAAAACATTTAGTTAAGTTAGCTTGTTCTGCCGTGCTCTTGTATATGATAATACATGCTGAAATGACCAATGTATCACGTTCTGTGCTCTCAGTGTGTGTGCGTTTTTGCGTGCGTGCGTTTTTGCGTTTTTGCGTTTTTGCGTGCGTGCCTGTGTGCATGTGCGCTTGTATATATTTCGCTTGAAACCTGAAATAACCACATGTTGAATATACGACTCAGAAGAAGTTAAAGAACACCCCATTCACAGATTAACTTAAGTAATCGGAAAGAATAGGGAGTTCCTTAACTTCTTTTGAGTAGTATATATTGGTAGCCGATAGACTGACATAATTAGTTGAAACACGATACTGAGATAACATGTGCCTGACACACCTGGGATGTCGTAATGGCTACCTGCCTCTACAGGTAAATTTGCATTGTCTCATAATCCATTAAGCAGTATAATTGCTATGGGAAGGTTGGGGAGAGTTCACAGATGCTATCGACTCCCAATGGCGGTATAAATATCTGTCTGTGGTAGTCGTGGTGCTGTGTCACAGAAGATGTGAGTATCGTATTCTGATATCATAGTACATGTATATACTTATCTCCATCAGTAAAAACTTGAACCTTTTGTATACTGATACATATATGTCTATTTTACAGGTGTAAATACAGTGTTAACTCCTTAAAACTGATAAATGTTCAGGTGGTTCTCAAGTCTCAA